AATAAATCCAGAGTTTATTGGCACTTTTCCTGGGCTGTCCTCAAATTTCAAAGCACGTGGTGGACACGGAGACCATTGCTGAGAAGTCCAAGGGAAGTGACTGGCAGAGTGTTCTAACAGAGCTTGATTTCGATGCTCCTATTTGTACATCAGCATGGGGATTTGGGGGTCCTATCAGCCCTGCGGGACCCTCCAGCTTCAGGCCCCATGTCTACTGCTGCCGCTGCCTCCTTCCAGAGCCCCCTGTTGGCCAAATTTCAAAGTGGGCGCAGGCTGGTGGAGACAGGAAATACAAAGACCCAATGCAGACCACCATCTCCTCCCTCCTTCCTCTTTACCTCCCCAGCATCAGGAAGGAGACGGTCGAGGAGACCCGGGGCACCGAGGGAGTTGTAAAAGGAAGCTCGGAAGAAAGGGGTCCATGAACTTAGCCCCGTGCTTCGGGAGCGCCTGTGGGTCTCTCCATCCTTTAGAGGTTCACTTCCCAGCTGTCTCTGGAGAAGGTCTAGATTTCCCTGCCCACCTGCTCACTTCCCAGCAGCCCCAGGAGACTCCCAGCCCCACGGACCAGGTCCCTTGTTGCTCCCGCAGCCTCCGCCTGCAGTAACCCTCTGGCTGCAGTTGCTCTTTCTAGGTGGGGAAGTTTAGAACCAACCGCATCCCTCCTGCAAGTCCCCAGACAGAGCTTGACCCACCTTGGCCTTGAGGATGACAAGAGATTACAACACAGCTACAAGAGGGTATAAACTATACTTACAGCCCCACAGGGCCAGACGCCACCTCTCCTGGCCACCGCTCTCAAATCTCAACCCTAAAGAAAGTGCCTTCTCTCTGGTCCCGGGTGGCCTCTCTGTTACCATCCTCACCTTCTTATTGACAGAACCCCACTTAGCCCAATGGCTAAAAGGAAAGGTCCCTGGGGCTCCTAGTGGAGAGGAGTGGCCATGTGACATAGCTCTGGCCAATGGGATAGAAGTAGGGCTGATGGGCAGGGCTGATGGGCGGGTTCTCCAGAAAGCCCTTTAGAAAGCCTCTCCTCCCCTCAACTCCCACGGAGCCTCAGTTGACCGAGTTTGGGGCCGTGGCCTTTCTCTCTCACCCTTCCTCCTGATGCTCAGTCAGCACTCATGGGGGAGCCATCCCCTCAGGATGGTGGGGCCGAGAAGGTGGAAGTTGCTTTTCCGAGGACCTAGAAGAGCCAGGGACACCAGCCCTGGTTGCTGACCTCCGCACTTCTTAATGTGTGAGAAAAAAATAAATCTTGATGTGATTAAAATACCAGTCTTTGGATTTTCTGTTATACACAGACTCACCAATTCCTAAGTTATGGGTCCTCCCCACCCATACCTGCCCCCTCCCTCCAGTCCACTGAGGCCAGAGAGACTAACAGCCCCCTCCCTCAGCCGCAGCCCCCAGGACGTAATCCTGCCCAGGACATAACCACAGGTCACAGCGGCCTTAGGCCGAGGGGTCCAGGGCCTTCTCTGTCTCAAGTCACCTCTTCCCAGGACAGAACATACCTCTACCTTCAAAGGGAGCACAGGGCAGGCTGACCAAAATCTACCTCTAGAGAAACACCACCTGGTGGCTGTGATCTGTAAGCAGTGATGCCTTCCTCCTAATCATTGCGATATTGAAATATAAAGGAACTACATCAATTCAGCCCCAAACACACACACACACAGACTGAGGTCTGACAGAAGCAGAGCTTGAGACAGGGGTTCAGTGCGTGGGTTTGCGGAGGGTGTGCTATTAGGAAACATGTGTCAGCGAGTAAAGGAATTAGCATTGGGGGAGGGTGGGAACCCCAGTGAGGATTCCATCCTCAGCCTGGTCCACCCAGTGGGACTCTGAGCATCCATCACCTCTTGAGGCAAGGGGGCAGTCTCATGCCTCCGGCTTCAGGCTAGATTCCGAGGCTATAGTACAAGCGCCCCCCGGACAGAAGGTGGAAGGTTGTGAGCTGTTAATCAGCGTCACCTAGTGGAGGGGGGGTTCCCACAGACGGGCTCTGGGCCAGGCACCAACCGCTTCTGCTGCACACGCACATTTGTGTCACCCTGGATGTGTCCCCAGGAAGGCTCCTGAAGGGTCTGGGAGGAAGGGGGCCTCAGTGGGCAGCGCTCTGCCCGCCCTGACCTCTCTCAGCTGGCGCTGTGTCAGCATCCCGGGGACTAGTGGGAGCGAGGGCCAGGGAGGTGGAGCGCGTCGGAGATCAGAGTGGCAGCCCCAGTCCCCCAGGATGCGGCTCGGCCCCGACCTCCGCCGGAGGGTGGAGAGGAAGTTGCCAGTGGCCATTCAGAAAGCTCTGACATCTTCCAGGCAGCGGAGAGAAGGAGAAAACAAGGTTAGCGGAGACCAGGGTCTCAGCCCGGCCTCTTCTCAATGGTGCACCCCCGGCCCAGAGCTCATGGTTTGACTGACGTCCGATTCTGAGAGGTGAAGAGCCCACCTCACAGGCTGGAGGGCAGCAGCCCTGTGCGCAGGCGCTGTGCGTGCCCCGTTACACTTCCCCGTCCCCTTCCCCCTAGGACGGGGTGGGGGGCATTTCTCATCCTCAGCGCCATCAACGTTTGGGGCTGGACAGTTCCTGTGGGCTGGGGTGGGGGTGGCGGGTGTTTAGCGATTCCCCCTGGCCTAGATGCCAGCGACGCTCCCTTCCCACTAGCACCAACCAAAAGTGCCTCTGGGCATCGCAGACTGGGGGCAAAACTGCCCCGGGTTGAGAATGACTGTCCTCAGCAGAAGGGACCGTCCTCCCCAGGTAACAGAGAGGGAGGTCGATGCTCAGAGACGGGAGGTAACTTGCCTGAAGCCACACTGGAAAAGCAGCAGGCGCAGAAGGAAGTTCAGGACGTAGTGACTCCAGAGGGCAGCCCAGGCAGGGGCTTCCGCCCAGCGCGGGTCTGCAGCTGCTCTGTCTCCTGCCCGCCCCCTCCCCCAGCTAGGAGCCCTAGGGAGCCTGGCATCATCCAAATGGCTTTGCTGTCAGGGGAAACGCCTCGTCCCCTGCCCCCACCTGCCCCTCTAAGTAGGCCGGCCTGCTGAGTCCGCGTTTCCTGTCTGGTTGCCATGCATTACAGAGGCGCCTGGGGAGCAGCCGGGCACCTCCCGCAGGCCTGGGTGGGCAGGGCTGAGCGGGGGCTCACCCTGAGGCCCGTACCCCTGCCCCTGGCCCTGTGCCTCCAGCTGGGCCACTGTCCCCCCAACTCCCAAGAGTGCCCCCTGCACATCTCAGGCAGAGGAGTTAAGGGTAAAGGCCTCAGGAAGAAAAGCTTTAATTGTTTTTTTTTCCTTTTTAATACACAAATCACGACTGGAGGGAAGTTAGAAAATACCAAAATGTGCAATATTAATAATTTCAAAATTAAAATCACCCACCATCCTCCGCCCAGAGCTAATAACTATTAATATTTTCTGATGTGCATTTCTAGTATTTTCCCATAAAACAAAACCCCACGCAGACAGTTTGCCCAGTGTTTGCTAGGACGATGCTAAGCATTGTGCTGAGGCTGGATAGCCCTTATTTCAAGCATCCAGTGATGAGGTTGAGAGCTGGGCTCCCATAATAGAGCCTTTTTACAGCGGAGAACACCGAGGCTCCAAAAGCGTCCTGGTCAGAGACCTTGGGCACAGCACACAAAGACAACTCCCCATGATTTAGGAAGAAAAGGAGACGATTTGCAGGGTCACAGGATCCCCCCAGACACGACAGAGGAGCCAGACGCACCGGGTGGGGATGGGGGCGCCATGAATCCATCCTGGCCAGAGAGCCTCTGCTGCTGTCCCCATGGGCCCCCAGTGCTGCCTCAGGCACCACCCCTGGCCCAGACCTGCCTCCTGCTGGCCTCCCCATCCGGCCCCCACGTGTGCCCATGTCTTCCCGTCCAGCCTTTCCCACCCCATCAAGGGAGATGGGCTGTCTTTCCCCAACCAGACAAAGGGCACAAAGAAACCATGACTATCCAGCCAGAGAGGGTGGGCAAGTCGCTTAGGGTCACATAGCCAGGAAGAGGCAAAGTCCAGATGCAAATCCAGTCTCTCCTGCACAGAAGCCCAAGCTTATAAATACATTGGAGCCACACAGCTGCCACTTTTTCCATTATTTCATTTATTTTAGCAATGGATGGCTTCATCTCATGCACATCTATCTTTAGCCTGCTTTACAAAATTTAGCAATATATCCTATCAAAGGAGGTCTTTTAAAATAAAAAGGAAATGCAAAACTCTACCCTTTTGCCCTCCCACTGCCCTGCCCACACACTCCTCCCATGCAGTGGGGTCTGGTCAAGTCCCTAGGACCCCCTTGCCTGGGCTCCCAGAGGCTCTGAAGACCTTGTGGTCCTGCAAGGGTGGGCTGAGGCTGGAGACAAGTGGGCTCACCTGCGGCAGTGTTCCAGATGGCTTCCAGCCGGACATCCCCTTTCCTGACTGAACTGGTGGCCCCAGAGTTCTGGTCAGGAGCAGCTAGAACGGGGCCTTGAGTCCCCAGAGATCCCAGAGCAGTGAGCTGCCCCTGACACTAAAGGCACTGGAGCCTGTCCCGCCCTGGACAATTCACAGCTGACCCAGTGCCCAGGAGGGGCGGGCTGCTTCCAAAGGCAGAAGGGATGGCCTTGAGGGGTTCTGGAGTCCGACCACAGAGGTCGAAGCTGTCCTCCACCACGTGGATGACCTGGGGCAAGTTCAGTCTCTCTGTGCCTCAGTCTCCTCATCTGTGAAATGGGGATGTTAAAAACAGTACCTACATCATAGGGCTTTTGTCAGGATTAAACCAGTTTACACATGTCATGCTGGCCTGAAGTAGGGAACCAGTGTCAGCTGTTGTTATCCATGTCTTCCGTCCTCCTATCCCCAAAAACCTGCCACGTGGGTGCCGTATCACTCGGTCTCCCTTCCCTCCGTCCCTCACTCCCTAGTCCCTCCACACGCTGGCCCCAGGGCACAGTGAACCAGGCAGACACCTCTTGCTGCCCCCGGAGCCCAGCACCGGCCCAGGCGCAGTGAATGCCTCTCTCTCCTCCAGCCACCTCACCACCCTCATCCCCTGCTGTGTCCAGCGGAGGATGGGGTCACGTGCCCGGGCGTCTTTGCGGAGCGCTGAGAAGCCGTCTCCCATCACCCCACCGAGATGCAGGAGGTGGGCCTTGGGGAGGCCCTGATCTGCTTGGCCAGTGAGCACCCTGCTACCCTTAGGACCTCAGTTCTGGGAAGAGCTTTTAGCAGAGGAGCTGGTACTGGTGGCCTGTGGGGAGTGGAAACCTGGGACCTGGATCTTGGTTTCTAAACACGCTTCTCCCCTAAGAGGAACCAGGGCTTCTCAGAGTGAAGTCTGATTCCACGGCTGGACAGAGAAAGTCTGGGGTGAGCCCGGAACACCTCGTACCACAAGGCCAGCAGCTGCCCAGCTGGCAAGCTCCACCCT